TTTTTCTCATTCTCATTACCATCCGTCCTACGCTCAAAAGAAGTACACACACCAAGTTTCGTTAAGATACCTCAATTTGTACTCGAGTTATCGTGTGCACAGACGGACGGACGGACGGACGGACAGACAGTCACCGCTTAATCGATTTCTCTTTTCATTCTGTTCATTTATGTATACATTTGTCTATAACTATTGCGATTCGTTTTGCCTGTTACAAACAACCGTTATGTGAACAAAGTTATAATACCCTTGTGCACAAGTGCGCTCGGGTATAAAAATACTTGACATCCGCATCCGCATTCGCATTCGCATCCGCGGATGTCTAAAATTCCACATTCGCAACATCCCTGCTAACAACACAGTGGAAACTTTCTATATTCTGCAAAAAAATAGCATCATATGTTAACTCTTCTTGCAAAACTCGTTTTCATACTTATTTATAAACTTTCAAGTCTCCATCTTCTGATGAACATAGAAAACTGCTTTAAGTTGTATAGACTGCTAATGTTATGTTATGTCATGTTATGTTATGTAACAATTTTATTAGGCTCTTATTTATCCAAATTTTCAGGAAACAAAATATTCAATTTAGATGTTACTGTTGTCGTAGTCGTTTTTTTAAATTTATGGCTTACTATTATAAACACAGCGCTGTTTGCAAGTGGACTACTCATGGCTTATTCTATTTCAATTCATGCTGGGTGAATGGGTTCAAAATTCGAGTTCAAGTTTAATACGATTTTTCATATTTTTTAGGTCAAATAAAGAGACGTTTTTTTTTGTTTTGCAAAAAAAAAGTTCGCTGAGTTACGAGCATCTGAAAATTTTAAAGCAAAGTGTGGTTTTAGAGAAAAACGGCTGACAATTTTTTTCAAATCTTTCTAGTTTTGTTAAAAATCAATATTTTTTAATTCGGTTTTTTGATTTAGAAATGTTTTTAATGCTCTATATTTGCCATACTTGAAAATTTTAATACTTTTTTAATTAAAAAAATTACGGCCGGTTTTGGAAAAATCAAAAGACTCAATTTTCTCAAAAACATAATTTTTAATTTTCTTGAAAATTTGTTTCTGTTTATTAGATAAAATGGAGAACTGTTGCCAATAGGTTTGATGTCCGCTAAAACGTCTCGAAAGTCGTAAGAATTTTTTTTTTTTCTTAAAATAAGACTCAGTATTTTGGGTAATTTAGGCGTCTTTTATCTAGTAACCATAAACAAATTTTCAAGAAAAGGATACCTCCATATTGCAATATGCCGTAATCGAGTTAATACCGAAATCTTCTATATAACCTATAGACGTAAACAAGGTATCATTATAATAAACAGACGTTTACAGTTCTTGAAAAGGCTTTTCGGCTAATTCCTATAGGAAATTCTTTAATAGAGAGATCTGTGGTCATAAGCAGCAATAACCGCCTAAGTCGACTTAACAAAGAATTGAGTTATATATGCTATCGCTTTCTGCAACTACTATTCTATGTGTATGTGAAACTCCCATCTCGTTAGCTACGCTATTTAAAAAGTTATTGATTAAAATGTTTTGGTTTCCCCATAAGGTTAACATTACAATCCAAATCTTTAAAGCGTTTTTTTTTCGAATTCAGGTTTTTCGACTTAGGCGATTATTGCTTATGACCACAGAGATGACGTTTGGCATTAAATCAGTGTACACAATAAGTATGTTTACTTATGTCCGCAAATAGCTCAATTATTAGATGGTTTTAAGTCTTTTCAAGCAAAAACATGCGCACGATCTTTCTCTTTAAACAATCTTTGAACAATTTTTTCCCCTCATTTACAGCCCATAACAGCTGCTATAACAGACATAAAACCTGCCCAACAAACACACTTCGCCGATTTGGAATTCGAGGATAAAACAGCGCTGGAGGCAACGAAACGAATGAAGCGTGAACATACAGGAAATTCACAGAGCTTCATTGACCTCATACTCAAAATAATGAATTCGTTACAACTGAACAAACCAAATATAGCAAAAGCTGGCCAAAGGAGCTACATTAATGCATTCAATCAAGATTGACGGTGAGAATTTAAAAGTCCAGTGGATTTGCTTTGCTTACGTACTAAAACGTGGATTTTTTTATTTATTTTTTTAGTTTTTTAATGATTTTTTTTATGATTTAATATATTACAAAATGTTAAAATCTATCAATAAAACTATAGCTAACATAATTAGATTATGATGGTGTATGTATGGGTAATATTGAAATTTGAAATGAATAAAAGATAAGCAGTTTGCAAAAAAATTTTAAATAGAATATGACTTTGTAAATTGCCAAAGAATTTTTTAAGACAAATGTAAATGGGTGGCAAAAATTGTACCGTTAACAATTATGCGATTGCATTGGTTGTTAAGTATAATAAAAAATAATGAATTGCTGGACATATAATTATTGAATATGCTAAGCAAATGGAGCTTAAAAACTACATACTTTTTAAAGGCATATTTGGGTGAGGTAAAAAACGAGTTTACGATAAACGATATTAGTCTAAATAACTTTGTTAAAAATTAATAGCAATATTTTTAAATATGAAATGGTTTGCGTAATTTAGGTAAAGTTTTGAGAAGTGGTTGATTTGAGTAATAAATAAGTTTTGTTGTGTATGTGTGCAATTTAGTATATGTATACATACATAAAATATTTATTATTACAAATATTTTTAAATATTAAGCTTCAAAAACAAAACTGTTACGAATGGACATCGAATAAAAATGCGTTAGCGACGCCTTTACAATGACATTATTATACTGGCTAGTACTTTTTTTTTATAAAAAAATGGCAAAATACGAAAATATTCATAGCCTATAAATAATACTAACGCATGATGCATACATATTTAATCGATCTTGATTTGTGAGCAAAGCAAAATTCGCGCTAAAGGGAAATTCCTACGAATTGTAATTAAAATTTGAATAAAAAAGATCTCATTTTCGATCGAAGCCACAAAAAAACATTGTGAGTTCACCGATTATAGCTTATTTTTGCTATACATAAGTTATACCGCACTCGCTTCGCACCCTTCACCTTTTTTTTTATAGTGAAGTAAAGAAATTTGTCGAGTTAATACGTACAATACTTTAAGTAGTATTTAAAAGATTACCTGAGGTCTTTTAAATAAAAAATTATGTTCTTATTTGTTGTCACGTGATCGGTTACTTGTGGTGTTTACATTCACATTAGGTGTAGTATTGCCGCTGCCGCCTGCACCATTAATTTGAGGCGCGGATTTGGGCAAAGGTAGCAAAGCATTTGGCGGCGGTTGGCACCAATACCCCTGAAAAAATAAAGAAAATATTTCAAACATTTATTAACATAGCAACATTTTTTTACGCTTAAGAACTTTATGACTCGGAAACAAACGTTACATACCTGTGGTCCCACCGGTCCATTTGGCATGCCTGTATTCGCACAGGCACCACCGCCGCCGCCACCAGCAGTACCTGCTGCAGCCTGTGACGACGGTTGCGGTACCGTTGCAATACCATTCATATGTAGACCGCCAGCCGATACAGCTGTGCCAGGTGCGTAATAAAATGGCATCGGTGGAGGTGGTGCTCCACCAGCGTACGGTATACATTGAAATTGTAATCCGTCGCTGCCGTGTATCGCACCAACTGCCTCAGCGGCTGACAGCTCAGCTGCCGTTGGATAGAAACCGTTCGACGATGGTCTGTGTAGTGTCATATTAATGGTATTTACTGCATCTGATGGTGACGCAATGAATTGTGGTCCACCATTAGGTGGTGGCGGATAAGATAAAGCCGTGCATGACGTTGATGTTGATGTAGGCGTCGGGTGCATACCCATGGTAGTGGGTGGTGGTGGTGGTGGCGGTGCGTAAATACCAAAAGAATGTGCAGGCGCTGGCATCGGCATATGTAGGAAAATGCCGCCTCCAGCAGCCGTGGTTGGCTGGACAATGGACATTGGCGAATCACCGTTAAACTCACCATATGGGCTATAAGCGGCAGTCACCATGGCGTTCGCGTGTGGCGCTTGGTAAGGTGCGAGTGCCGTCTGAAAAAAAAAATAATAATAATAATATAACATAAATAAAAAAAATCTGTATAAAATTGAAGCACATCATACACCAAGCTTACCGGAGTTTGCATTTTCCCGGCATTAGTTCCGTTGTGCGCCCCATTTCCACTCGTAGGATTGTCAGAGTTTACATGCGGCGATGGCATACCATGCTCCGCAACAGAAACTGCAAGCGAAGCAGTAGCACTGCTGCTAACGCCACCACTTCCAATGTTTGTATTCATTGATTTTGTATTTTGTAACGATGTATGACTGTGTGACGAATTTGGCGTAGCACTACGGTTCGAGCTATTTTGTCCAACGTTATTAGTCTTTTGTGTATTAGTAAACTTACAGTTTACACCTCCACCAATATGAGAATTATTGTTGTTATAATCATTTTGATTATGATTATTTAGATTCTGCCCAGCAGATGTGTTACTGTTGTTTGTGGTGCTATTGTTATTGTTGTTGCTTTGGTTGCGCAAAAACAGCGGTCGCTCCTTGTTGCTGTTAAAATAGCGCGCCGGAAAGCGTCTATGCATGTGACCGCCCTTGCCGGAACCACTATTGACGCCGCTGCCCGATCCACTACTAATGAAATGTTGATTTTGGGCAGCGGAAGACGAATGTGAAGCACTATGTATACCATTGTTAGCATTTGGATTGGAATTCTGTGCATTTAAATTTGGCATGCTGTTGTTGTTAGCATCCGACTTGCTCTATAAAAGAAAATTGTGTCTTAAAATCTGTGGCAAATTATTATTTTTTTAGCTAGGAAAACATCGAACATCTCAAAACGCTGAACTATCAATTTTGTACAAAAGTAAAAAAAAAGTAATTTTTAAGTAAAAAACAAAGCAGACTTCAATTCCGATGATCGGATTTAAACCAAATTAATATGGGACCATCTTTCCTTTAAAAAAAGAATTATAGAAATCGGGTTTCGAGGTCTAAAGTTATGCGGTAAAATATAAAAAAAAAAATTACGACGAATTGATAACCTTTCTCTTTTTTGTGAAGTCGGTTAAAGAAAGTATAGTTTTTCAATCATACGTATTCAACAGAATCCTAGACTCACTTTTGCAACCAAATTTATAAAACTATAACATTGATTTGTAAGGCTGTATAACTATGGAAATGTTATGAATATGTTAACTTTTTAAAGTTAAGCAAATATATTTTTTTTTAATAAGGCTCATTGCTTACTCTAATCTCTACTCGCAACCATCGCATAGTAGCAAATTTTTAAATAAAATTTCTCAAAAGATCAATTCAAATGAAGGATATTCTGAAATGTTTTTCAGTACTCGCTAAAACAGGCTTATTATGCACGTTACCGATAATTTTGTAACCGGAAATTTGTATTACAAAAAAATGTTACTACTTCTTGTCATGGCGATGATATATACGTTGGTAATGCAGTCAAAATATTTAGCAATTCAGCTATGTATATTTGGCGAAATTCTTATATTGCATATTTTTACGGGCAATATTTTGTTACCAGCTTATAAGATGGCAACAAAATTTACTGGTTAGAAGAGTGCAAGGAATGCGAAAAGGCATTAAAAATTTACATACACTTCTTTTACCGGTTACAAATTTTTTGTTACCAGCGCCGAATAGACCTGTAAATGTTAGCTTTAATTTTTTTTTTAATTTTACTATTTGCTTGCGATTTCAAAATTGGGAAACAAAACGAACCTCTTGCATGTTGTCTTCATTGTGATTTCCACCCGTCCCTTTCGATGCCAGTTTTCCACCATTTACTTTTGCCTTGCCATCTAAATTTGGAAATCAGTTATATAAACGGTTATGATTTTTTCGCAATCAAGAATATACTCACCTTCATTACTACGCTTCAACTGCGTGAGATGATAGTCCAAACCCAAGTTGTAAAAGTGGCGCAGAGTGGGCACATCGGTAGGCAAATCTATGCCACTCGGCTCAACCGATTTCTTTGCATCCCAATTAATACGCCCGCTTAGCGGTGTATGTATATTTGGCGTTTGCCTACCTCCACGATTACGAGTAATGGGTGTTTCATAAATTTGTGCTGCATTATTTTGCATCGAGTTGGGGTCAATGGCATTTCCTAGGGTACCGCTCCCGAAAGACGGATTTGTTTGATAAAATGGACCACTACCGACACTGTGTGCAACTGCAGCAGCATGTGGATGTGGCGCGGCAGCAGTTATGAGTGGCGGTGGTAGGGGGGGTGCTGCTTGCATGTAAATGTTATTCGGCGCATGTGCGAAAGCTGTTGCCGGTGCACCTGGTGGAGGATACATGTAATAACCAGTTGGCATAAGCGCTGTGCCTGGTGGATGCATCGCAGGGTCATAGCCATATGCATAATATTCCTCAGGCATGGCGCCATACTGTGGCACAGGATATAAGTAATGAAAGTCGGGGAGAATAAATGCTGGTGCACCAATGCCAGCCGATTGTTCTATGGTATTAAAGTTGCCCATCATTTCTTCCGGTGCACAATTGCGCTGTGATACATTTTGTTCGGTTTTAATGCGTGTCTCAGGTATAGCAGCATGCTGCGCAACATTACTATTATTCTCGTTAGAAGGCGTTGTAGTGGCACTGCCACTTTTCGTTTCGATATCACGTGGCGCATGCTCCACCGTCAGTGGCATAGCACAATATTCAACAGTATGTGCACGGAAATTTTCAAAGTGGGTATATTGCTTCAATTTGTAATAGCACCCATTGCGATGATGTGCAGTCGGAGCTGCATAATTTTGTTTGTCTTCTTTGTCGGCATCACCTCCTGTGATTCCTGCTTCATAATCCGATGCCTTACCATTGTGCGATAAGGGTGTACAATAATTACGATCTTGAGCGATTTGGCCATTGAGTTTGAAGCGATAATTGTAATGACGTGTTAGACGCACCGAGCTATATTTCTGCATATGACGCTGAAAGCGATATGGCAAGGTCCATGGCTTAAATTGATCCGGTGGCAGTGGAGTAAGCGAATCGTACGGAACCTAAAATAAAAAGTGGCTTTTTAATAATTTTAAATATATCTTACATCGACATGCATGCACATAATTTAATGACTGAACCAAAAGTTAGGACATTTTCATTAAACAAATAAATATATTTACATATGTATTTAACATCTTACCAGACGCTTTTCGCCTAATTGTTCGATAAATACAATGCAGTAGCCTTTGTCAACTGCAATCTCTTGTATATGACAAGTGTATACATCGTTTTCGGATTTGCATAGCTTCACATGACATTTGGCTCCCACCTGGAAGATTTTATGAACTCGTGTTTGCTGGCAGCGTATCAACTTCAGTTATACAGTTAGACAAGCACAAACATAAAAGTGGATTGGATAGACAGGACACAGCAATTTGGAGCAGGACGTATTAAAATGACAAGCACAAACCGTTGACCGGATTTTATTGTATGTTAGGCACATAGAAGGAACAAACTGTTAGTTCATTCATTATGACAAGCAAAACGACATGCATGCGTACTTAATATCTAAATCAATACCTTAAAATTCGTATCACCGTTATACCAGTTTTGTAATTTTTGCTCTTTGCGTTGCTCATTCCACGCGTCAAACTCAATGTTGCGATACATATTTGGATCCAATGCTTTTGCAACTTTATAGGGAAATGGTGTGATACCTTCCAATGAAAACATACCACATTTTTTAAACAAGATACATTATTTCATATGAACATATTAAAGAAGCAAATACCTTCCTGTAACAATTGTCGCACACACGATATATACTTGTGTGGCAATAATGATTCTGCAGTTTTGCACAATGTCTTTTCATAGTCGTCGCAGTGTGTGTGTATCTTCATTTCGCGATGCAAGTCATCAGATAAACGAGGAAAGTTTGTATAATGAAAATGACAAAGTTCATAATTTTCCAAAATGCAATTGGTTTCGTGCGGCAGATCGAAATTAAAGACACGCCCATCAGTTAAATGTATACGAGTGCAGTAGCCATTCTCATTACTTTCAGAAGTGTATTCCATAGACTCCAATGTCGGCGAGTGGAGCATATGCTCAACGGCAAATGCAACATCCGGTAATTTATATAAATCCTTGTATAAGATTTCATAACATATTGCTAGAAGTAAGAATTAATTTCGTAATTTACTCACATATTTGTCAAAGTACATATTATGTAAACTATTACCCTGGCAGATTGCGGCATCTTTGATATAGTCGCACGTAAATACCGAATCGAAATGCCTTTCTGGTGTATAGAAAACTCGAAAAACGTCATTAAAGTAAGAACGAGAACTATAGAAGTTTCCCAAATTGAAGGGCTCAAATAGTAACACATTACGTCTGTAAATGAACAATTTAAAATGCCTAAATAAATATATTTACATATGCATGCATGTATTCATACTACAATATAAAAAATACAACTTTTTGTTAATTGAGTAGGCTTCTTTTGTCCAAAATGCAAAGCATACATAACACAGTCTATCTCCACTTTTTGCTCTAAGTTTCGCTAAACCACCTGACATTCCCAGGGGCACCTCGAAGGGAGTGAAGAAATGTATCTAAATATATTTGTTTTGTTTTTTTTTTACTTACTGGAACATATAACCAACTGCCTGCAGTTCGATCAAAGTGCCATATGTTTTGGGCTTCGACATATCGTCAAGATACTCGTCCAAATCCCGGTCAATGAGCTAATTATATAAAAAAAAGATTCCAATATTGTATTCAATGTCTTTCAATTAACTTACCGGTGCAAAAAAGTCCCGATGTTTACGCATATAGCGTACGCATTTTTTGCGTATAGCTAAATGATGCAGTTGGGTGTCATACATTTGTTCCGAAATAACACGAAACAAGCAGGAGGCATCGCGGGCGGTATGCTTGCGATAGAAGTTATTTTCCTCCAAGAATTGATCAAATGGATCAGGCGCTTGGCGACTGCCGGAGGTGAATTGGCGTTGCATGCTTGTAACTTCTTAGCAAAACAACTGTGCGGTTTTATTTACTTGAAAAAATATAAATAAATTACAAAACAAAAAAGTACATAAAAGTCTGGTCTATCCCATCAGTGGACAAACCAATTTTAAGGACAACATAACCTCAAATAAAAATGCATAGCATAAATAAAGCAAACCGTTATTGTTGTAATTAATCAAAGTTTTCGCAGTAACAGCGTATGCGTATGCATTTAAGAACATATACATATATAGTTTATCTCATGAAACTAGGGGAGTAGTTAACAAAACAAAGTTCAATGCACGCAACTGTACGGTACTTCACACATCTTCACTCAAGGTCTAACAACAGTTATTTGTTTGTATATATTGCACATTCCAATTGCTATACCAATTTGTGGGTACAGTTTCAGAAATCTGAACGAAATTTCCATTTGGTCAATAAATGAAAACAAATCGCACTTTCCCCAGGTGTCTCATAAACTACACTCACCTTTTTTAAATGTTTTATTTTGTAAAAGTGGTAAATTTCTAATAACTTTTCGACATTAAAATTTCAATCAACGAATGCGCGAACCAGCAAACGCACAATCACAAATTTGCACTACACTTTCAGCACAAACTTTGTTTATTTGAATGTTTATTAAAATATTAACTTTTAAAAATACCACAAACAACGATTGCCGCTTTGTTCGTCGCAATAAGTTAAAAAAAACGAGATGCGATAAATTTCACAAGCAAAATGCAAATGCAAAATAGCAAAGATTTAAAATAGAAAAGGGAGTCCTCAAAAAAACGGTACTCTTGTGCTAGTGTTGCTGTTGGTCAAATAGCAGAGTTGCTTAAATCGTGCTAAAAGTACTACTGAAAGCGTACCAGTAAATGTTAACAAAGGCATGATGAATACCGCCAGAGAATGTTAAGCAACTGTTAGACGTGACAAAAGCAAGTCGTTTACAAAAGTCTGTCAAACTCTGGAATTTCCAAAAGAGATGGCAGGAGCAGTTACACTTTGCATGCAAACTGGATTTCTGAACACCAAACTTTCTTTCTTTCAAACGGGTGAAATTATTCATTGAGGTAAAATTATTCATTAAAACGCTTTAAATGTATTGTCATATTGAATTAACTCTTCTTTAGTTAGATAAAAGGGTAAAATAGTGGTGCCAGTAATGAGTTTAAAACAGAATTTGATAAAAATTTATATCCGGCTTTTTTTGAAGTTTAATGGGGTGCATTATTCTAAGCAGAATTAATAATAAGTGGAAAAAGTTTACATGTAAGCTTAATTTTTTTTTAACTGTTTGTGTAAAGGATATAACAATTACTAGGTCACCTCAATTTCCAGATTAGTTCTAGATTTTGTTAGAAGTAAAAACCATATAAAAAACAAGCTTTTATTTGAAATTCATATATATTTTGTGTCGTTTATTATTTACATGTCGTCGTCTGGGTAAAAGATTGTCGTATGTTAATTTCGGCAGGTTGTGGGAAATCGCGATTGAAGTTTGGAATGCAATTTCTCAAAAACGCGAAGATAGATTTTCTCCAAAGTCTCTGAAAATATTACTAGTTCACAAAATTCTTAAATTATTTAATTTTTAATGTTTGACTTTATGAAAGATTTTCTTTAGTAAAATTTTGTCGTAAGCGTCATTTGTCCACAATTTGACAGCCACTTTATATGAAATACGACAAAATGTGATCAAAATTTCCACCGAATTAACAACACTTTTTACTCAATATCTCGGAAACTTAAGGGGATATCCAAAAATGGAGAACGCCATTTTTAAGATATTGGTTAGTTTAAAAAGGCTGCATCACTAACTAAATTTTTACTAAATTATCGAAAAAATTGTGGTCAATATTTCGGAAACTAGAGGAGATATCTAAAAACTGATAACTCCAATCGAAAGACCTTATTTCAAAATATATAACTGCATCTAGAACTACTAAAAATCGTCAAAATGGCGCTAACGACAATCTTTTACCCAGGCGACGATGTATGGATTACCTAATACTAAGTTTTATATTACACAGCATTTACATGAGGCGATTATAGGCATAGGGGCAAAAAAGTGGAACCAACAAATTAATATAAATAAGGTAAAGAGAAGATCACTGCCAGTAAGACTGCCGAAATTGTCAAAACTGCATAAAACATTCTTCCGATCATATCACCTTAGTTTTAGTACACCATGGTAAATCATTGTAATGAGAAGCAGTAAATTTTAAGTAACATTTTTTCAAGTACTAACCAGAAAATTTTAGAAGAGGGAATTCACCACTGAGATCACACACCACACCAATTCTAATTACCATTTTCTATGGTAAAGTGAGAAGTTTGTGGAAAATTTACAAAAAATAGTTGCCGAAGTTGTTACATAGCTACAAATTTACGCCAACTCATCGGTGTCGTGGTGCTTGCTACAAACATATAGCTTTATTTATTTTTTCTTAAGTTTTTGCGCTGATTAATATACCAAAGGGAACTGTTGGTTTATTTATTTACTTAATTTTTTTTTGTTATTTTTTAAACATATATGCAAGTATGTATGTACGTCCGTATATAAGTATGTTTGCATAAAAAAAATTATTTGTCCTATACAAACAGCAAAATTATTTTAAAATCATGGGGAAAATGAAGAGAACAAACTCTAATAATTTTGACTAAATAAATATAAACACATTTTTTCAATGAAAATATTTATGCTCAGATTCTTATGTTAAATGTAAGCCTAAAAATATGTAGCATTATAACTATAAGCAAAGTGTGTATCATTTTATGTACAATCAGTGTCAAAAATATGGACGATTTTATTTTTTTATATTTTCCGTACCAAATTTTACTTAATTTTTATAAAAATATATATTCAACAGCAAAAACCATAAGAATCAATTTTTTTAAATTTCATACAGTGCTCGGGAAAATGCAAGAAATACCAACAAATTTTCATCAAAATTCACGCGCCACCGCCGAGTTACGAAAAGAACATGGAAGCAAAGAACTTTAGTTTTCTTCCGGTTCACAATGTTAAAAATTTCGTTTTCTTCCATTTTTCTCTCTTACGTCCTCATTCGGTGAAAATTCCGTTGCAAATGAAACGGAAGAGGTTTGATCAAACGTGAACATGGCGGCCAGAAAATCAAAAAATTTTGATTTGTTCAAATTTCCCTCAAACAGCTTGTCAAACCTTCAAACACAACACAAATCGCTTGAAGCAAAGGGATATTTCGCTAGGTTTTGTTAAGCCGCTTGTGTTGTGTATTTCGCTCTTTACGGCGCGTTTACATTGGACAATGCTGTCAAGACAATGAAGATATACGTATTAGTTGTCGAAATTGTTCCAATGGAAAAGTATGCATGTATTATTGAAAAAGTGTGTATGTATTGCTATTGTCATGATAGTATTGTCCGGTGTAAACCCTAAGTTAATGAACATTTTAGTTAGGCTAAATGCATAGTGGAGTGCATCGTACAGTTTCCTTAACTATCCTAAACTAAACACTATCAGCTGATTGTCAAAAAAATGCCTACAGCTGAGATCACCTGTTTTTTTTGCCATTCGCTCTTATCTTTTACAATTTCTTTCATTTCTATTACAATTTATTCAAAATAGTGTAACGCACTGAACCAAAAACACCAATACAATTGAGAAAACGGTAAGAAAAGTTAAGTTACTTATGGAATTGTACGATGGTGGAGTGGCGAGCAAAGACCATGGAGCAAAGCGTCGATTACAAAAGTATGTGTTCCAATGGGAGTGCACATAATGAAGAGCAAAGCATACATACATATACGTTTG